ATGCGGGATCTGTCAGAAATCATCGAACAAGAGGAACTGCACATGGTCAAACTGCTATTGGAAGATATGCGACTCCAGGTTAGGGTAGGTGGTACATACATGACATACATACATACATACATACATATACATAAACATACATACATACATACATCATATACAACATACATACATACATTACATAACATACATACTACATACATACATACATACATACATACATAATCACATATACACCATACATACATACACACAACATACATACCACATACATACATTACATTAATACATACATACATCACACTAACACACATACACACATACACACATACACCACACACACACCACAGACACACATCACACACACACACATACATACATAATACAATACATACATACATACAAAGTACATACATACATACATAACTACATACATTACTACAATACATACATACATAACATACATCATACATACATACATCATACATACATACATAGCATACATAACATACATACATACATACATACATTACATACATACATACATACATACATACATACATACATCATAATACATACTACATACTACATACATACATAATACATACATACATACATACATGTACATACCATACATTAACATACATACATACTATACATACTACAACACATACATACATACATAATACATACTAACATACATACATACATACATACATACATGACATACCATACATACATACATACATACATACATACATACATACATACATATCATACATACATCAATCATAACACATACTATACAACATACATACATACATAATACATACATACATACAATAAACATACATACATACATACATCAGACATATACATACATACATACATACATATCATACATACATACATACAATACATACATACATACATACATACATACATATCATACATAATACATACATCTACATACATACATACATACACACAATAACATACATAACACATACATACATCAACACTACACTAATACATACATACATACACACATACACACATAACACATACACACATATCACTACACACACACAGCAACACACACACAAAAAAAAACCACACTACACACATTACAGCAACACACCACACACACAGAGACACACACACACACATTATGTATGTATGTATGTATGTATGTATGTATGTATTATGTATGGTATGTATGTATATGTATGTATGTATGTAGTATGTATGTATGTATGTATGATGTATGTATGTATGTTTAGTGCTATGTATGTATATATGTATGTATGTATGTATGGTACGTACGGGTTAACGTACGTAATACATACATACATACATACATAACATACAACGGCAACATCCCCCGGGACATGCTACACAATCGGATGACACAGAGGCATCGGGATCCCACCGACGCCACGCACAGCAGCACGCGCACGCAGCACGCACGCACGCACGCACGCACGCACCACCAGCACGCAAGCACGCACGCACGCACGCACGCACGCAACGCACGCAGCCACACCACGCACACACGCAACAACATACACACACAGTACACACCAATACACACATACACACATAACACATCACCATACACACATACACACAACACACATAACACATGCACACACTACACACACTACACACATACACACATACACATACTACACAATACACACGATAACACATACATACAACAACATACATACATAACAACTACATACATACATACATACTACAACATACATACATCACATAACCATACCTACATACATTACATTACATTCTACATACATACATACATACATACTACATCACTACATAATACATACACTACTATCATATACATACATACATACATACACACATACCACACATACACACATACCACACCACCATACACACATACACACCATACATCACATCACATACATACACAATACACTACATACATACATACATACATCAATACATACATACATCATACATACATACATACATACAACTACATAACATACATACATACATACATACATACTACATACATACTATACATACATACTTACATACATACTACATACATAAGACATACATAACATCATACCATACATACATACATACATACTACATAATACATACATACATACATACATATACACACATACATACATACATACATACATACATACATACATACATACATACATACATACGTACATACTACATCATACTATACATACTACCTACATACATGACATACAACATCAAACATACATACATACATACATACAACATACATACATACATACATACATCATACATACATATCATTACATACATACATACATACATACATACATATACATACTCATACATTATCATACATACAACATACATACATACAACATACTACATACATACATAGCATACATACATACTAATACATTCATTCATACATACATACATACATACATACATACATACATACATACATACATACATACATACATACATTACATACATACATACATTACATCACATACATACCTACTCAACGCATACATACATACATACATACATACATACCATACATACATACATACATTCATACATACATACATACATACATACATAATAACATAATCATACATACATAATATTCATACATACATACATACATACATACATACATACACTCCATAATACATACATACTACATCATACATAGATACATACATACATACATACAACATACATACATACCTACAACTACATACATACATACATACATTACATAACAACATACAGTATACATTACATACATAGCATACATACATCAATAACATAATACATACATTACATACATATACATATACATACATACATACATACATACATACATAATCATACATACATAACATACTACTACATACATACATACATAATACATACATACATACATACAACCTATACAAACTACAATACAACTACATTACATACATCATACACTAACTACATACATACATACAATACATATAAGATCACATATTACAACCATCTACATACAACATACATCATACATACATACATACATACAATACATACATACATACATCATACATACATACATACATACCACATACATATCATACATACATACATACTAATACATATACATACATCACATACATACATACATACATCAACCATACATACACTACTACATAAACTACATACATACATACATACGATACATACATACATACATTACATGACATACTACATACATACATACATACATACATCATATACATACAACAAAAACCAAAAAATACATACATAACATACATACATACATACATACATACATACATACAACATACATAGCATACATACATACATAACATACATACATACATACATTACATACATAAATTCACATACAGTACATACATACATAGCATACATACATACAGACAACATACATACAATACATACATACATACATACATACATACATACATAATACATACATAACATACATACATACATACTACATACCATACCATCTACATAGCATACACTACATACATACATACATACATACATACATACATACATACTACATACATACATATACATACATAATACCTACATACATACATACACATACATACATACATACATACATACATATCATACATACATTACATAGATACATATACATCATACATACATACTACATAGAATACGATACATGCATACACTACATACATACATCATACATACATACATACATACATACATACATACATACATACTATCATACATACAAATCATACATACATACATACCATACATACATACATACATACATACAATACATACCATACATACATACATACATACATACATACATAACAGTACATACATACATACATACATACATACATACTACTACATACATACATACATACATATCATACATAAAAAATAACATACAAATACTACATACATACATACATACATACATACATGACATACATACACTACATACATACATACATACATACCATACATACATACATAACAGTACATCATACATACATACATCAACATACATAACATACAACTACATACATACATACATACATACATACATACATACATTACTACATACATACATACATACATACATCATACATACATACCATACATACATACATACATACATACATACACTACATACATTACATACATCTACATACATAATAGCATACATACATACATACATAGCATACATACATACATACATTAATACATACATACATACATACATACATACATACATACATAACATACAATAGCAATACATACAACATACAATACATACATACATACTACATACATACATAACAATTACACATACATACATACATACATACATACAATCATACATATTCACATAGCATAACATAATCCATACCATACTTATAACTAACTACATACATACATACATAGATACATTACATACATACTGCATACATACATACATACCATACATACATACATGTACATACATAATACACTACATACATACATTGACACTACGATACGATACATACATACATACATACATACTACATACATACATACATACATACATACATAATACATACATACATTACTCATACGTGATAACATACATCATACATACATATCATACATACATACATATATAACTAACAACATACTACAATACATACAACTCCATACATACATACATACATACAACATACATACATACATACATACATACATACACACATCAACATACATACAAATACATACATCATACAGTCTACCATACAGTACATACATAATACATAAACTACATAGATACATACACTACATACATACATACATACATACATACATACATATGCATACATACAATACATTACATACAAATACATACATACTACATACACTACATACATACAATACATCACATACTACATACATACAATACATACATACATAACATACATACC